ATTGTTTTCTGATGTAGCAGAAACAAACATGATTCTTATTCACAAGTAACCTTGGCAGTGTCAGAAGGGGCATACACAGCCCTGGGAACAATTTTCTTAGCTAGCTGTACTTACAGAGCCACAAAGAAAAGTCATTTTGTTGCTGTTTTTAAGATAAAACTATGGCAGAGAACTAAGATTCAATCCAACTCTCATATTCAAATTAATAGGTAATTAATCTGAAATGCATTTTTAAATAGCAGGAACATGAAAACAGTGATGCAACTGTTCTTGGGCGAGGTTTACATGGAAAAGAAGCATAGAAAGCTGCCCAGCTCCATCACAGCTTCAGCCCCAGACCACCTGATGAGAGGGGAAGATTTAGTGGTGCAGATACAGTGCTGTGTTCTAGAACTGTTTTTCTTCCACCTTATGTTATCAGCAGGGCTCTGTATAACAATATGTGGACATATAAGCTGGGATGAAACCAACCTCAGGCATCCTGCTGTACCCCTGTGCCAAACACAAACATGCCCTTAGTGATGGATGGAAGAGGGGGCAGGTAAATCTTAAGGTAGATGTATTTTTTTCACAGGTGTATATAAACAGTCAGTGCAATTTAACTGCTTACAAAATGAAGAAAATGGATATATTTGCACTGGTAGATGACGGAATAAAAAAATGTTATCGTTCTACAAATGGTATCTTTTATATGTTTCCAAAGAGAGAAAGAAAACAAATAGCAAAATTAATCTATTCATTTTGCTCTGTGGTAATGTTTCTTCAAATTAAATTATTCCATAATGACCTATTCAGTGTTTTGCATTATCTTTGAAGCAAACAGTCTATTATTTTGGTACTTCTCTGGCCCTTAAAAGTGTGTCTCAGTTCTTCAAAAAGTGATGTAGGAAAGTAATATTTTCTTCTGATTCTCAAATAGGAAACAGGTACTGGAATTCTAAAATCTTAGTGAGTGTGATCCCACTGAATTTCTGTGCATAAGTTTTGCAATGGCAGAACCTTACAGGGGACCAAGATCAAACAAGAATGAGGACAAAACTATGTCTGAAGCTCACCTCACACTGAGCACACTGAGATCATCTCACACTGAACCCACTGGGATCATCTCACACTGAACTGAAACTACCCTTGCTTAGCTGCAGGAGTTTTGCTGAAGCAAGAACTAGAAAATTAGGTCTCTGTGCACATTAACTAAGTTAATAAATTCTTTTTTAGTCATAAGTGTAAAAGTCAAATTTCCAGTGTTTAAAAGCGGAGCATACTTGTGGTCAATTTGGATTCAAACAGCCTTTCAACTGAAATTCTGCATTGTGAGGATGTCGTACCAAAATATTTATTTTGTTCTGAGCAAAAAGCCAACTGTGCTCAGTGTATGTCTATGCTGAAACTACTCTAGGACTGAGCCCTATGTGGCAGCTATAACATTTGAATTAAGAGACACAGTAGAATATTTTATGGCTTTTCCAATTAAAATAATAATTATGTAGTGTCTATCAGCATGGAATTCCAAATGTAAGCCTCAGGGTCAAATAGCTTAGAAAACTGAAATTCTGCTCCCTTCCTGGGAAAAAAAAAGGAGATTAAGGAGATTCTATGCAGCTTCATTTACATAAATTGCAAATATTGTTTACAAATAATACCATTTACTGGGTTCTGCACTTCATAAATGACAAAATATTCTTACTCATGCACCACAGTAGCATGAACCCCATCAACAGGCAGTGATTTTATATTTGATACTGTAGTAAAGAGAGCTCATTTAGAGGGGGCATGATATTTTTATGAGCACAGCTCTGGTGCCCTTGAGTATGGCAGGTAAAGCTCATTTAACCTGGTTAGCTTTGGGACTGAAGAGAACACATGGTCAAGATAGTTAGGATGCCTTTTTGGAAACACAGCACCAAACCTACAGAAGTAGATTTGAAATCACAGAACTGAGCCCAATTAGCTACACATGAGAGTAGATGCTGCTGAAGTGATTTTCCTTGAACTGAAGCTGTGTGGTGGAGGATCAATCAATCAATTTATAAACACCTCGAGGGTAATAATAGTCTAGTGAATGTGAATTTGTCAAGGACAAATTGTATCAAACCAATCTAATTTCTTTCTTTGACAGGATAAGTGAATAAGGGGGAAGCAGTAGATGTGATCTATCTTGGCTTCAGTAAGGCTCTTGAGTCTCCTACAGAGCATTCTCATAAGCAAATTATGGTATATGATTAAATCACCACAGAGAAGGCTCACAGCTGCTTGAGAAAACAAAATCAAAGAGAAACTATCACTGTTTTTTTTGTCAAACTGGGAGGACATTTAAAATTGTGTATTTCTGAGTCCATTTTTATTCAATCCTTTGCTGATCAATGATCTGGACGATGAAATCATGAGGATGCTTTCAAATTTGGAAGGAGTTCCATAAAATAGGAAATTGTTCCAAAAGCAGCTGATGGAAATTTGATAGAGGCACATGAAATTGCAATAGAAGTGCTTTGTGTATGTGAAACTGGGGAGAAAACACTCAGGAAGCAGTATAAGGCAGAGAAGGAGTTAGGAGGACAAGGACAGTGGCAACAGCGTGACACTACTATGTCAAAAAAAAGATATCTCTTTTTCCTGGACAAATTAATTTTCATTTGTGAAGGGTGAGAAGCTCTAGGTGGCTCAAGATGACCTTGCTTGAGCAAATAGGTTGCCAAGATGACCTTCAGAGGTCCTTTGCAGTCTCAACCCTTCTGTGTCTCAGTATCAATCTCACTATTGAGATCAGTGATACCTCATTTTGAGTAGTTTCAGGGTTCAGACTATGTTAAGGATGTAAACAAACACTCAAAGGGCAACAGGAAGATAAGATAAACAATAGAGGCTTGAAAAATTTTACATCTGAAATAGACTGAAAGTGAAGTAGGCCACCTCTGAATCATTTTTTGCACTGGGCAGTAAATGTCCTCCAATTTCTTAGTGTCATTAAAGCACATAACTAACATTTGAAAACTTGGGCTTCAACAGACTTCTGATGTATATTGATTTTGTGTTATTTTGTTGTGTATTTAAAAGCTTAGATGTTCTTTATTTCTTTCTCTCCAACTGAAGTTCGTAATGTTTACCATGTTTTCTTGTTTGCCTTTTTGCTCCTTTTGTTTTTGTGTACTGAAATATCCCTAGGCAGAAGAAACTCTGCTGTTGATGTTGGCAACTAAGATTTACAGAAAAAATATAATTTCAGCTCTGTGTATTTAGGGCTTTGTAAATTTTGTAGCATTATACCACTCTCTTCTGCATTTCTGTTCTACTGATTAGAGCAACACAGGTGAAGAAAATGAGTAATGCTAGTCAGGAAAATACTGTGGCTTTATAGAGTAACTATTCATGAAGAAAAAGGCCTTGAAACATTTCCAGAACTGGAGGCAGAGAATTTATTGTTCCTGCTGGATCTCAGAATAACTACTGCTTTGTGTCATCATTTTATAATCCTTGTCTGTCAATAAACATAACTGTAGCTAGCAATAAAAATGATACAGGCTCAGTCAGGCAATGCTACCCTGGTAAAACAAATTTATGAGCCAGTTAATATTTTTAATCCTGTTACAGAGATGACCTCAAAACCCAGACCATTTATTTAAGCCTCTATCCCCTAAAGGAGCACATGTGCATGTCAGATAAATGAAACCTGCTTTTGAATCATGTTGATCTTGGGCTGAGGTTGGGCAACAAGAGGGAGAAAGGGTGGAACTGCAGATATCTGTCTGCAAAAACAAACCAGCCCCATTAGTGTCTGTCTCCTGTCCAGTACAGAGTTGGTGAAACACTCTTGCAGGCTCAAATGAAGCCATTCATTTGATAACACAAAATTCAGTATGCTGTATTTTTCCCTTCCCCACATCAGTTACATGCCAGCGATTATTCCAGTTCTACCATTGATCCAAGATGACTTTTCACAACAGGGAGCCATTCTGTTTATGCTGCTTCAGAAATCTCTGAGATGTTATTTGATCTACACCATCCATTAGATGCTGAATACATTTCCTTCTCTATTGTTTCATCTTATTAGGAAGATATGGCAATGACACTGTCTGCTAATTGCTATTCAACCAGTGCTTTGTGCCTTGTTAATTTTGACTAAGACTCTTTTCCTACATAGCACACTGTAGATATTGCTAATAGGAGAAAGACAGGTAGTTAATTGGTGTCTTGAGTGTTACACAGACAAATGAAAATTCACTGATAATCAGGTTTTCTTTGATGGAAGGGTCAGCTCTTCTCACTACTTGCTACACTGTGCTTTCTCTCTATGCTGCAAAGTACAGTATTTTATACTTGTAATGGCTACCAGAAGAATATATGCTGCTGCCCACAACTTATAATGAATTATTATGAGGAATGGTCACTTTTTAAACCTTGGCCAGGTATCCTCCTGAAAGTGAAAGCCAGGGAGGGTCCTAGGTCAGAATGTATTTTTGCACTGACTGCCTGAGTCTCCTGGAAAGTCTGCAACATACCAAGACAAGACATATGGTCTTAACAACACAGTTACAGGTTATAGGCACCAAGTATAAAGTAAGAGTGGCTACAAATACATGTTCTGATTTGGGGAAGCCAGATGAGTCAATTTGGCAATAGAAGTTCTAGTTCTAATCTGCCATATAAGAGAGGAATTTTTGATGGCTCCAGACAGCAATCCCTTGCTGAAAGAAAATAACTGAAAGGGCAAGGAAAAGAGTTTTCTTTCACCCAAGCTACTTACAAAATCTCTTTGTTCTTGGATTTAGACCCCAATCCACATCTTCTGCACTGCCTCATCAAAAATACAGGTTGATGTTTCACTACTTATGTCTTGTGTATACCAATCCTCTACTGCATCCACAGACATGCATCTCAGGCAAAAGAAATTATGATCCTTATAGAATGAGAGCTAATTGTTGAGATAGATGGACAGAAACAGCAATCAAATATCCTAAAACAGGATAACAGAAGCTTTCTGGTCATGAGCAAATATATTTACATACCTGGTCTTATAGAAAAGATGGATTGAGTATACTTAGTTATCTTCCTGCAAGCTGGTGGTTTGTAGAGAATTGGTGTTCTGTAGCCCCCACAAAGTGCAGAACTGAGTATGCAGCATCTCTGAAGTAATGCCGAGACTTTTAGATTTATATGCCTGGATTAAAGACAAATTTGGTAACCATGTAGAATGCTATACATCATATTCAGTGTCTCTCTGTTCACTACAAAGGTTTACTTGTGAAAAAATGTTCTGGTTTCACTGTTAATTTTGTCCAAATTTCTGTATGTGAAGAACAGCCTTCAGACAAATAATCATTTAAATATAGCAGCTGAAGACAAATGCTAGGAAGATTATAGCATCAATTAATTTCTTAGACATTAGAATGGCTCTCTGGATAACAATCAGAAGTTGCCAGACAAGAAAAATCGAGCAGTAACGTAAATGAAACAAAAAGGCCCACTAAATTCAATACAGTCTGGTGACAGTCAAATTCTAGATATAGCTTCCTGCTGAACTGCAAGAAGGTTACGGGTGATCTTAATCATTGTGTAATGATATGGATGAGCACAGCTTGGAGCAGCACCCTTGCACTCTTCATTCTGCCTAATGTGCCACTGCTCCTGGACACAGAAGCCGATGAGTGACAACTTTTCAACCACTGTCTGAACTTACAGATATTATAAATTCAAAAATAACACCTTCATCAGAAAATATTTTACCTACATTGTCACAATAACACCTAGGATTAGAGAGGGGGAAAAAGAAACCCACCAGTTTTTATCTCTTCTCTCCTGGTTTGGTTTTTTGTGTATTTGAAAGCAAACTGTACATTGTCTGTTTCAATGTTTGCTCAGTCTAGACACTCTGTTATTCTTGGGGCTAAGGGAGCAGCTAGGAAAGGAGAGAGACAAAAGAATCACAGAGCAAAAAAAAGGAAAAGGATAATATGATTTTAAAATCTGGAGAAAGGTATTAACACAGGTTTTTGTGGATACATCTGGAGAAGGACAGGCAAAGTGTTTTAACTCACTGGATTTTGAGCTTGGAGAAAGGGAGGGCTGTGTCAATATTCTCGCTGCAGGGAAGGCAGAGAGAGCAGGGGAGGGAAGCAGGTGAGAATCTTCCTCCCTCCTGTGGCTGCAATTCTGTGCCTGTGTTGAGCTATGCATGTGCTACACACAGCCTCGGCAAAATGCTGATGTACTGCTCTCACAAGTCTGTCTGTGAAAGAGCAAACACTCTCCCTATCAGATCCCTTCCTCTCTGTGTCTTAGTGCAATTGGCAAGTTTGAAAATTACAGACATCGCATGTGCTTAAGGAATTGCTAACTCACCCTTCTGATTTCCTCCTTCCCTTCTCTTCACCAGGTGGGCAGTTTTCATTTTTCACATTCAGTTTCACTCCTTGCTTTTGCCTTTCAAATCTAGCAGTGACGCAGGAAGAAAAAATAAAGACGTCAGTAGTATAAAGAATATCTCATTAGTTTTGATTTATTATTTTTTCCCTTCCCTTGCACAGAAAACTGTAGATTTAATTTGAGAACCTAACTGGTAAACTGCAACTGAGAAGGAATTCAGCTGGAGAAAAAATGCAACTCAACATGAGCAGTTTTTATAGGCTTACTTAAATCCCTATACACGAGCTCTTTCTTTTCCTCTCCTACAAAATGTGTGTCACATTGGCTCTTGTAATTCTGACTACCCTAAAAGGCCACCTTGAAATTCATTTCACAAAATATCATTTCCAAAACATGTTTTCAAAACTTTATTTATTATTAGAGAGGGGAGCTGAAAATTTAACCTTTGATCTAGACTAAATAACTTTTTGCTGGTTCACCCTGAACTGTCATTTCCATTGAATGGACTAAAAGAAGCAGAACATCTGAGAAGCAGAAACCTGTTTTCTGAAAATGCTATGGTTCTGCCAGTGTCTCACAGACAACCTGGAACTAGTCTTTATCAAGCTGCTTTAAAAAAATACCATTTTTATTATTGCAATATTTCTTCCTTAAAAATAGGTAATTTTAATGATGGATTTATAAGTTATGAAAGCAGTCATTCCCCCAACCCCTTTGCTACAATGTGTGGGAACATTTACTCATTGCTATATCCAGGCAGAGATGATTCCAGGTGTCTGTTTAGTATTTGAAATGGCTGAATGGGTTTTCCACTCACCATGAGACCAGAGGGAGCTGAACCCACAATCTGCTATTAATCCCCATTTCTTTTGCAAAGGTTTTGGTTGTTTTCAGAACTCAGATGCTGAGGCAAATTTTTGTTTCCTAAAACTATATACTAGTTCTGATTTTCCAAGTGACTAGATAAGTAACACAGCCCAGAGAAAGAGGACTGAGTGGGAAGGAGGAACAGGGAGGAATGGCCCCTGTGTCTAAAATTGACACTGACATATCAGCTTTTTGGGACTGGAGCCTGGATTGCCCTACAAATCTGTAAAGTGCTTAGCGCATTTTGGGCTCTGTTAGCTGTCGCATTAAGAATGACTTTGGCATGCACATAACAAACAGCTTTAAGCTCAGGCCAGTCAATATTTAACCTGGACTGGGATGGAGGAGAAGCATCATCCATCTGAGTTCCCAAGCTGTGAGATAAAGCTCTCAGCCATCAGGCAGATGTTCACATTATATTAATGGCTGCTGCCTATTGTTCATCAGCACTGAAATGGTTAACAGTTAGAATTACCTAAAATACTGTCTTTGGCTCCTGATCTTTTCTTCAGTGTTCTCTGACAACCCAGGTCAGCTTAAAATTCTTGTTTATGAGAAGAGCATGGCATAAGTGTGGTAAAAGGGGAATGCACCCTTTGTACCAGGGCAACTCAAGATAGGTTGGGCCACTGCTCATCTGACATGAACTTCAGTTAATGGAAGAAGCGATTCAGGAAAAATAATATTTAGGAAATATTCAGGAAAAAGAATAAATGTAAGTCCAGAATAGTAATCTGTATTCCAGGCTTTTACAGTGCTAATGTAAAGCCATAGGAAAAGGATATGATGCTATACAGAATTTATGAGCAACTGGAAACAATGTGAGATGTTGCAATATTGCTAGCAATAACAATTTGTGTCTTTGCATTGTTCAATGCAAAAATATCATAGAAAAATAATGTTACACTGTTTAACAATCAATGATCTTTAGACTGTAGTACTACTGAATGAGCTTTTGCTGAGAGGATTCTATCTATGAGGGAAGAGAAGAAGGGAGGGAGAAATTCTCTGTATTAGTTTTAGGTTCACAAAGCAGTTTCCATTTTCCAAGGAAATGCTACTGGAGGAAAAATAAAAGTAACTTTCATTCACCATTTTGTAACTATTAAATACAGATGCACCAGAATACAAAATCTTTTATTTTTAATTAAAAAATGTATGAGTGTTATAAATATGTTAAGCTCTTCTGTTGTCATGGGTCAGCACAGACTAAAAAAAATGTATTGTTAAGCAAGCTGTAGTCAATATTGATTTTTGTACTTCCAAAATTTTTAGCCAATGATTACATATTTGTGAATATGCATTTTGAAATTTATTTCTGCTAGCAAATACTGTTTCTACAAATAAATATTACTTAGTTCCTCTTTAGGGAGAAAATCCAGATAAGCAGAGCCATGTAAAGAAGGTTTGGGAGCATTTGTTGGGGGGAATTTTTATGGGAGGAGGAGTGGGAGTGTAAAGCAGTTCTGAGTACTAATAAAAAGCAAAATGTCTCTAGAGAGACTTCATTTGTGTTTTTTCTCCTGTAGTGAGAAAGCTTTTTAATGAAAGAAATGTCCTTTAAATTCAATGCTAAGTGATGTTAAACTGAAGTGTGCATTATGGCACCAATCTAAAAGACTAACAGGTGTTTAATTGCTGTTGAATGATAAACTACAAGTTTTTTTTGAGAATATTTGTGTTAGGGGCTGCTTGTTTACAGCTGGGATCCTTAAGGAAAGAAAATTTTAACCTTGACAGAACAACAGCAACTGGAAAAGAAGTGACTGGCTGAATGACTCCATTTCCTTTCAAGTGCCCAGTGCAGCAGTGCAAGATATCATCCGGTGTGACACACAGAGGCTTTAAACAATAGCACATGTGGAAAACAGCTTTAAAATTTTTCAAAATAGTGATGAATTTGTAGAACAATGAATGTTCAGACCTAACTTCCTTCAGCCTTCTCACTCCCTGCTCCTCATCACCCTGGTACATTTATATAAGATTTTTAAATCATACCTGAAGATTCCACATTTATAAAATAAATCAATAATTTGATGTATTAAGTGTCAATAGGAACCCGAAGAATGGGAGGGAAGGCTAGACATTTTGTGTAATTTTAAATAATTTTGTTTAATGGTAAAAACTAGCTGATAAAATTAAACCTCTAGTGTGTTCCCTTTCCTGGCAATCAAGTTTTGCAGAACAAAGAGAACAGAAACAGCTGAAGAATAGAGTTACTCTCGCCACCACCTCAGTCCCTAGATAAGCTCAGCTGGCTTGTTTATAACACTCCAAAGTTAATTTTGTATGTGGTTATAGTTTAGTGACAGAAAGTCCACCTATATTCTTGTTGCTGGCTGGGTTGTTTTTTTCCCAGTAGCTTAGCATGAGCATTCAATACTGCAGTAAAAGCTAAAGTCACTGATAATTTCCTTGGGTCATATCCATTGCATGGTGTTTTTAAGACCACAGAAGCCATTTAAGGGCTCAGTTCTGTTTTTCATGATTATACAAACTTCTGCTGGAAACAATATTTAGTGAAGAAAGCAAGTCTGTGCCCCAGGGCTTGAGGAGGATATCCTACTTCCACTGACCATTCCTGGATGACAAAGAAAACAGGATTTGACTGAAGTGGCAGAGCTAGGAACAATAGTAATATGAACACCTGTAACAGCACTATAATTAACATAGTAAAACCATGTTTTGTTACCATTATAAGTCAAGAGACTGTTTTCCTGCAATGACTGTACCTCTTTAAGATTGTGTAGTGAAGCTAAAAAGGTTGCTTTGCAAATTGTGACCTCTGTGACTTTTCTAAGGAAGGTCTTGGGATGCTTGAGAGGCAGCACGTTTGGAGTTGCTGTTTGTTAATTGACTCATTAGCTTTCACAAAAACGATGACCTCTGCTAAAAGATCCTTCATATGGTCCTCTTCATATTGAATTCTTCCTTTGCCCTGACTGATTACTTCATCCAGTGGACGTCAGTCCCCTCCTCCCATTTGGTGCTGAGCATGGACTAGATTTCCAGAAAACCCTTTAGTCTTCTCTCTCCAGGTTTTCCATGTCTTCCTGTTTGTTCTGGATCATCTTTTGCTTTCTGTTCCTCTGCAGCTTCTGTTCTATTTAGAAATAGCACCAGAGTGAAAGTGGTTAATGCTAACACACAGAAATTCTTGATGCCAGGATTCTGAGAATCTCCTCTTGATGGTATTTTTCCTTTATTCACTGTACAAAGTGCTGAAGCAATACCTCAAGGAATGTTGGTTTCTTTATTTTTCCTTGCATCATCCCCAGTTTCAGCTGATCATTGATTTCTTCTGACCCAGGATTCAAATATGTTGGACTCTGTTCCTTCTGGCTCCTGGAGATTTTTTGACTGCCATCTGACCAGGGCCCCCACAGCTTTCATCTGTTTTCACTCCAAATCCTTCTTCTAAAATATAAAATTATGTCCTCTAGCCAGCATGTTGCCTTTTACTTTTTCTGTGGTCCAGACCTCAGTTAAAGATTTAACAAAAGCAAAAAAAGCTCTGTTTCAAGCCAAATAAAGGAATAAAATCTAAAAGTTTTTCCAGATGAGAATGTTGGACATTTCACAGGCAGCTCATATGCTCTTTGGCAACTGAAATCCAGCACAAACTTTGCTCATGTAACACAAAATAGGAGGTTTTTTTATATAAACTATTTCTGGAGTTTCCAATTGTTGCCTTTTTCTTTTAATACTTCTTATTTTATAAAATCTGCATGAAAAGATTAAAGTATGTGAAACTTTGCATCTGTGGAGGCAGACTTCCTGAATTGTCATCTCCAGTTCCGTGCCAGGACTGCTGGGTGGCAACAGCTGCTTGTACTTCAGTGAACATCACTCTGTGCAGCTCCCTCTTGCATACAGCTCATCAGTCCCTCAAGGGTACACAGCACTGTCCTGAGTTTTCCCACCCCTGTGGAAGACCCCCCTCCTTGCAAGGACTGACAAGTCCAGCGGAATGTCTCAGTCACGTAGGTGATGTATACACCTGAAGAACTAGGTTTTTCTTTGAACATCAACAACAGAAGCCCCATTTCAGAAAAGCACTCTGATCAAACTCTGCTGTGCTCAGGGGAATCTGCTATTTAAAATCCAGTGGAAGTGGGGGCATTGAAAGCTGATTATATTCATGCTCACTGCACTGTGAGATTTTGCTTGCTATTGAAATGACTTTACAAAGAGAAACT